ACAGTAAATAAAAGTACTTTAAATACGAATTGAATTTTTACATTAAATAAAATTGATTTAAAAAAAAAATCGTTATTTAAGTTATGTAACGCTAAGGTTTCCTACACATTTCATTGTTAGAAAAATGTATTGTGTAAATAAAACTTAACATTATGTATTTTTATAATAAGTAATTGCGTAAACGTGACTAGAAGTTTTTTATGACTTAAAGCGGTGGTAATCAAACGGCGGGTACAATTGACTTATACATGTACAATTTTACAAGAGAACGAAAATTCTATTCTCAATGTGTTTTTACAGTCAGGTTAGAATTATTATCATTCAACACTACTGACCACAGACACTTTTACCACCGCTGGATTTACCTCTTAATTTCTAAAATGGTTTTATTGTTAAACAATGGTATCAATAATGTTATTTATATGAAGCTATACTTCAATTTTACTAACATACAAGAATTCAAAGTTACTCGGTATCGGACATTTCTTCGATTTTTTCCAGTTCACATTCCATAAGCAACGATGTCGCAAAAATATCAATGTTGCTGCTTGCCCTTGGCGGTAATTGTCGCTGGTTAAATAGCACACCACTAGGCCCAGCCTGGGATTGTACAATTGGCGCTTGCGGAATATAAGTCTTGAAGTTTTCTTCGGCTGATTGCAATATTTTAGACACTTCGATTTTATGCTCAATCTAAAATAAATATACATATTGAATACAAAATTGACAAGTGCACAGATAGTAGTAGACAGTTCGATAAATTATTATCCATATTTACTTCTTTTATGATACCGATAAGAACGTCTGGGTCTTCATAACTATAGTCAACGTTGATGTTGTAAGTGGCGATACCTTCTTTTTCATCGATTTTGTAGTGTAGCACGTTTGATTTTCTCTAAAATATTATACTTTAGCGCAAAACTACAGCAGTATGCGTGGACGGTCTCAAATTTACCACTGTCAAGAGATAGTTTACCGCATCTTTTGCCGTTTTAAGGTTGAGTTGTTCGGCCAACTCGGCTAGGGTCATGGTCGAGAACAAGTTGGTCCTGGTTCAAAGATTTCACAAGTTGTTTCACCAATCCAACATTTTTATCCCTTCAAAAAAAAAAATTTATCGTGAACCATATTAAACATTCAAATATTAAGCAAAACAGTCCAAATAGATATCAGATGTTAATGTAAATATATGATAAATATGTTTTACCTTACATAAATATCTTGGTGTTTAGCAATTGTCGCGTGGACTGCTGTTAAATTTCCACTTTGATAAAGTGGTACCAAATCTAAGTACGGTTGACACGTTGGTCCATACAATTCATCGAGGATTGTGGGATCAACGTTACAGTATGTTGGTACCGATCCGAAGTGTATGAAGACAAGTAAAATGAATTTCTTATAGGAATCAATCGTGATTGGCGAAATTACAGGAAATGTTGTCATGAAAACAATTTCGAAAAAAGTAATTGCTCTGTCAAAGTTTTTCATCGCTGTGTATATGAGACCGCCCGAAAAGTAGTAGTTCAAAAAGTATTTCGGTTCAAATATAATTTTAGGCTGTAGGACAAAATAAACACAATATTAATATACAGAACACATTAACAAACAAAATGCATTCCCACAGGTTGTACACAGTGTCATAACAAAAAATGTTACCTTCCTTGGCAAAAAAATACTTCTTCTTTTTTTAGGAAAACAAAAATAATTGAATTGATATAGTATGAAACGGAAAATTCTAAAATATATAAGTAATCCTATGTATACTTAATAATAATAAAAAAAAAAGATTTTGTATATAAATAGCTTAAATTAAATTTATATCGCTACATATTGCGTAAAGACATAGGCATTATTTAAATACAATATTAATTTTATTAACACAAATGTCCAAATAATAATTTCAAATACATTTTGGCACACATTTAAATATCAAATAAATTAAATAAATTTGAACTGAAAACCACAGATTATTAATGAAGTAGTCAAATAAAATATTATTGACAAAACTATATTACTTGATACAGTAAATAAAAGTACTTTAAATACGAATTGAATTTTTACATTAAATAAAATTGATTTAAAAAAAAAATCGTTATTTAAGTTATGTAACGCTAAGGTTTCCTACACATTTCATTGTTAGAAAAACGTATTGTGTAAATAAAACTTAACATTATGTATTTTTATAATAAGTAATTGCGTAAACGTGACTAGAAGTTTTTTATGACTTAAAGCGGTGGTAATCAAACGGCGGGTACAATTGACTTATACATGTACAATTTTACAAGAGAACGAAAATTCTATTCTCAATGTGTTTTTACAGTCAGGTTAGAATTATTATCATTCAACACTACTGACCACAGACACTTTTACCACCGCTGGATTTACCTCTTAATTTCTAAAATGGTTTTATTGTTAAACAATGGTATCAATAATGTTATTTATATGAAGCTATACTTCAATTTTACTAACATACAAGAATTCAAAGTTACTCGGTATCGGACATTTCTTCGATTTTTTCCAGTTCACATTCCATAAGCAACGATGTCGCAAAAATATCAATGTTGCTGCTTGCCCTTGGCGGTAATTGTCGCTGGTTAAATAGCACACCACTAGGCCCAGCCTGGGATTGTACAATTGGCGCTTGCGGAATATAAGTCTTGAAGTTTTCTTCGGCTGATTGCAATATTTTAGACACTTCGATTTTATGCTCAATCTAAAATAAATATACATATTGAATACAAAATTGACAAGTGCACAGATAGTAGTAGACAGTTCGATAAATTATTATCCATATTTACTTCTTTTATGATACCGATAAGAACGTCTGGGTCTTCATAACTATAGTCAACGTTGATGTTGTAAGTGGCGATACCTTCTTTTTCATCGATTTTGTAGTGTAGCACGTTTGATTTTCTCTAAAATATTATACTTTAGCGCAAAACTACAGCAGTATGCGTGGACGGTCTCAAATTTACCACTGTCAAGAGATAGTTTACCGCATCTTTTGCCGTTTTAAGGTTGAGTTGTTCGGCCAACTCGGCTAGGGTCATGGTCGAGAACAAGTTGGCCTGGTTCAAAGATTTCACAAGTTGTTTCACCAATCCAACATTTTTATCCCTTCAAAAAAAAAAATTTATCGTGAACCATATTAAACATTCAAATATTAAGCAAAACAGTCCAAATAGATATCAGATGTTAATGTAAATATATGATAAATATGTTTTACCTTACATAAATATCTTGGTGTTTAGCAATTGTCGCGTGGACTGCTGTTAAATTTCCACTTTGATAAAGTGGTACCAAATCTAAGTACGGTTGACACGTTGGTCCATACAATTCATCGAGGATTGTGGGATCAACGTTACAGTATGTTGGTACCGATCCGAAGTGTATGAAGACAAGTAAAATGAATTTCTTATAGGAATCAATCGTGATTGGCGAAATTACAGGAAATGTTGTCATGAAAACAATTTCGAAAAAAGTAATTGCTCTGTCAAAGTTTTTCATCGCTGTGTATATGAGACCGCCCGAAAAGTAGTAGTTCAAAAAGTATTTCGGTTCAAATATAATTTTAGGCTGTAGGACAAAATAAACACAATATTAATATACAGAACACATTAACAAACAAAATGCATTCCCACAGGTTGTACACAGTGTCATAACAAAAAATGTTACCTTCCTTGGCAAAAAAATACTTCTTCTTTTTTTAGGAAAACAAAAATAATTGAATTGATATAGTATGAAACGGAAAATTCTAAAATATATAAGTAATCCTATGTATACTTAATAATAATAAAAAAAAAAGATTTTGTATATAAATAGCTTAAATTAAATTTATATCGCTACATATTGCGTAAAGACATAGGCATTATTTAAATACAATATTAATTTTATTAACACAAATGTCCAAATAATAATTTCAAATACATTTTGGCACACATTTAAATATCAAATAAATTAAATAAATTTGAACTGAAAACCACAGATTATTAATGAAGTAGTCAAATAAAATATTATTGACAAAACTATATTACTTGATACAGTAAATAAAAGTACTTTAAATACGAATTGAATTTTTACATTAAATAAAATTGATTTAAAAAAAAAATCGTTATTTAAGTTATGTAACGCTAAGGTTTCCTACACATTTCATTGTTAGAAAAACGTATTGTGTAAATAAAACTTAACATTATGTATTTTTATAATAAGTAATTGCGTAAACGTGACTAGAAGTTTTTTATGACTTAAAGCGGTGGTAATCAAACGGCGGGTACAATTGACTTATACATGTACAATTTTACAAGAGAACGAAAATTCTATTCTCAATGTGTTTTTACAGTCAGGTTAGAATTATTATCATTCAACACTACTGACCACAGACACTTTTACCACCGCTGGATTTACCTCTTAATTTCTAAAATGGTTTTATTGTTAAACAATGGTATCAATAATGTTATTTATATGAAGCTATACTTCAATTTTACTAACATACAAGAATTCAAAGTTACTCGGTATCGGACATTTCTTCGATTTTTTCCAGTTCACATTCCATAAGCAACGATGTCGCAAAAATATCAATGTTGCTGCTTGCCCTTGGCGGTAATTGTCGCTGGTTAAATAGCACACCACTAGGCCCAGCCTGGGATTGTACAATTGGCGCTTGCGGAATATAAGTCTTGAAGTTTTCTTCGGCTGATTGCAATATTTTAGACACTTCGATTTTATGCTCAATCTAAAATAAATATACATATTGAATACAAAATTGACAAGTGCACAGATAGTAGTAGACAGTTCGATAAATTATTATCCATATTTACTTCTTTTATGATACCGATAAGAACGTCTGGGTCTTCATAACTATAGTCAACGTTGATGTTGTAAGTGGCGATACCTTCTTTTTCATCGATTTTGTAGTGTAGCACGTTTGATTTTCTCTAAAATATTATACTTTAGCGCAAAACTACAGCAGTATGCGTGGACGGTCTCAAATTTACCACTGTCAAGAGATAGTTTACCGCATCTTTTGCCGTTTTAAGGTTGAGTTGTTCGGCCAACTCGGCTAGGGTCATGGTCGAGAACAAGTTGGCCTGGTTCAAAGATTTCACAAGTTGTTTCACCAATCCAACATTTTTATCCCTTCAAAAAAAAAAATTTATCGTGAACCATATTAAACATTCAAATATTAAGCAAAACAGTCCAAATAGATATCAGATGTTAATGTAAATATATGATAAATATGTTTTACCTTACATAAATATCTTGGTGTTTAGCAATTGTCGCGTGGACTGCTGTTAAATTTCCACTTTGATAAAGTGGTACCAAATCTAAGTACGGTTGACACGTTGGTCCATACAATTCATCGAGGATTGTGGGATCAACGTTACAGTATGTTGGTACCGATCCGAAGTGTATGAAGACAAGTAAAATGAATTTCTTATAGGAATCAATCGTGATTGGCGAAATTACAGGAAATGTTGTCATGAAAACAATTTCGAAAAAAGTAATTGCTCTGTCAAAGTTTTTCATCGCTGTGTATATGAGACCGCCCGAAAAGTAGTAGTTCAAAAAGTATTTCGGTTCAAATATAATTTTAGGCTGTAGGACAAAATAAACACAATATTAATATACAGAACACATTAACAAACAAAATGCATTCCCACAGGTTGTACACAGTGTCATAACAAAAAATGTTACCTTCCTTGGCAAAAAAATACTTCTTCTTTTTTTAGGAAAACAAAAATAATTGAATTGATATAGTATGAAACGGAAAATTCTAAAATATATAAGTAATCCTATGTATACTTAATAATAATAAAAAAAAAAGATTTTGTATATAAATAGCTTAAATTAAATTTATATCGCTACATATTGCGTAAAGACATAGGCATTATTTAAATACAATATTAATTTTATTAACACAAATGTCCAAATAATAATTTCAAATACATTTTGGCACACATTTAAATATCAAATAAATTAAATAAATTTGAACTGAAAACCACAGATTATTAATGAAGTAGTCAAATAAAATATTATTGACAAAACTATATTACTTGATACAGTAAATAAAAGTACTTTAAATACGAATTGAATTTTTACATTAAATAAAATTGATTTAAAAAAAAAATCGTTATTTAAGTTATGTAACGCTAAGGTTTCCTACACATTTCATTGTTAGAAAAATGTATTGTGTAAATAAAACTTAACATTATGTATTTTTATAATAAGTAATTGCGTAAACGTGACTAGAAGTTTTTTATGACTTAAAGCGGTGGTAATCAAACGGCGGGTACAATTGACTTATACATGTACAATTTTACAAGAGAACGAAAATTCTATTCTCAATGTGTTTTTACAGTCAGGTTAGAATTATTATCATTCAACACTACTGACCACAGACACTTTTACCACCGCTGGATTTACCTCTTAATTTCTAAAATGGTTTTATTGTTAAACAATGGTATCAATAATGTTATTTATATGAAGCTATACTTCAATTTTACTAACATACAAGAATTCAAAGTTACTCGGTATCGGACATTTCTTCGATTTTTTCCAGTTCACATTCCATAAGCAACGATGTCGCAAAAATATCAATGTTGCTGCTTGCCCTTGGCGGTAATTGTCGCTGGTTAAATAGCACACCACTAGGCCCAGCCTGGGATTGTACAATTGGCGCTTGCGGAATATAAGTCTTGAAGTTTTCTTCGGCTGATTGCAATATTTTAGACACTTCGATTTTATGCTCAATCTAAAATAAATATACATATTGAATACAAAATTGACAAGTGCACAGATAGTAGTAGACAGTTCGATAAATTATTATCCATATTTACTTCTTTTATGATACCGATAAGAACGTCTGGGTCTTCATAACTATAGTCAACGTTGATGTTGTAAGTGGCGATACCTTCTTTTTCATCGATTTTGTAGTGTAGCACGTTTGATTTTCTCTAAAATATTATACTTTAGCGCAAAACTACAGCAGTATGCGTGGACGGTCTCAAATTTACCACTGTCAAGAGATAGTTTACCGCATCTTTTGCCGTTTTAAGGTTGAGTTGTTCGGCCAACTCGGCTAGGGTCATGGTCGAGAACAAGTTGGCCTGGTTCAAAGATTTCACAAGTTGTTTCACCAATCCAACATTTTTATCCCTTCAAAAAAAAAAATTTATCGTGAACCATATTAAACATTCAAATATTAAGCAAAACAGTCCAAATAGATATCAGATGTTAATGTAAATATATGATAAATATGTTTTACCTTACATAAATATCTTGGTGTTTAGCAATTGTCGCGTGGACTGCTGTTAAATTTCCACTTTGATAAAGTGGTACCAAATCTAAGTACGGTTGACACGTTGGTCCATACAATTCATCGAGGATTGTGGGATCAACGTTACAGTATGTTGGTACCGATCCGAAGTGTATGAAGACAAGTAAAATGAATTTCTTATAGGAATCAATCGTGATTGGCGAAATTACAGGAAATGTTGTCATGAAAACAATTTCGAAAAAAGTAATTGCTCTGTCAAAGTTTTTCATCGCTGTGTATATGAGACCGCCCGAAAAGTAGTAGTTCAAAAAGTATTTCGGTTCAAATATAATTTTAGGCTGTAGGACAAAATAAACACAATATTAATATACAGAACACATTAACAAACAAAATGCATTCCCACAGGTTGTACACAGTGTCATAACAAAAAATGTTACCTTCCTTGGCAAAAAAATACTTCTTCTTTTTTTAGGAAAACAAAAATAATTGAATTGATATAGTATGAAACGGAAAATTCTAAAATATATAAGTAATCCTATGTATACTTAATAATAATAAAAAAAAAAGATTTTGTATATAAATAGCTTAAATTAAATTTATATCGCTACATATTGCGTAAAGACATAGGCATTATTTAAATACAATATTAATTTTATTAACACAAATGTCCAAATAATAATTTCAAATACATTTTGGCACACATTTAAATATCAAATAAATTAAATAAATTTGAACTGAAAACCACAGATTATTAATGAAGTAGTCAAATAAAATATTATTGACAAAACTATATTACTTGATACAGTAAATAAAAGTACTTTAAATACGAATTGAATTTTTACATTAAATAAAATTGATTTAAAAAAAAAATCGTTATTTAAGTTATGTAACGCTAAGGTTTCCTACACATTTCATTGTTAGAAAAACGTATTGTGTAAATAAAACTTAACATTATGTATTTTTATAATAAGTAATTGCGTAAACGTGACTAGAAGTTTTTTATGACTTAAAGCGGTGGTAATCAAACGGCGGGTACAATTGACTTATACATGTACAATTTTACAAGAGAACGAAAATTCTATTCTCAATGTGTTTTTACAGTCAGGTTAGAATTATTATCATTCAACACTACTGACCACAGACACTTTTACCACCGCTGGATTTACCTCTTAATTTCTAAAATGGTTTTATTGTTAAACAATGGTATCAATAATGTTATTTATATGAAGCTATACTTCAATTTTACTAACATACAAGAATTCAAAGTTACTCGGTATCGGACATTTCTTCGATTTTTTCCAGTTCACATTCCATAAGCAACGATGTCGCAAAAATATCAATGTTGCTGCTTGCCCTTGGCGGTAATTGTCGCTGGTTAAATAGCACACCACTAGGCCCAGCCTGGGATTGTACAATTGGCGCTTGCGGAATATAAGTCTTGAAGTTTTCTTCGGCTGATTGCAATATTTTAGACACTTCGATTTTATGCTCAATCTAAAATAAATATACATATTGAATACAAAATTGACAAGTGCACAGATAGTAGTAGACAGTTCGATAAATTATTATCCATATTTACTTCTTTTATGATACCGATAAGAACGTCTGGGTCTTCATAACTATAGTCAACGTTGATGTTGTAAGTGGCGATACCTTCTTTTTCATCGATTTTGTAGTGTAGCACGTTTGATTTTCTCTAAAATATTATACTTTAGCGCAAAACTACAGCAGTATGCGTGGACGGTCTCAAATTTACCACTGTCAAGAGATAGTTTACCGCATCTTTTGCCGTTTTAAGGTTGAGTTGTTCGGCCAACTCGGCTAGGGTCATGGTCGAGAACAAGTTGGCCTGGTTCAAAGATTTCACAAGTTGTTTCACCAATCCAACATTTTTATCCCTTCAAAAAAAAAAATTTATCGTGAACCATATTAAACATTCAAATATTAAGCAAAACAGTCCAAATAGATATCAGATGTTAATGTAAATATATGATAAATATGTTTTACCTTACATAAATATCTTGGTGTTTAGCAATTGTCGCGTGGACTGCTGTTAAATTTCCACTTTGATAAAGTGGTACCAAATCTAAGTACGGTTGACACGTTGGTCCATACAATTCATCGAGGATTGTGGGATCAACGTTACAGTATGTTGGTACCGATCCGAAGTGTATGAAGACAAGTAAAATGAATTTCTTATAGGAATCAATCGTGATTGGCGAAATTACAGGAAATGTTGTCATGAAAACAATTTCGAAAAAAGTAATTGCTCTGTCAAAGTTTTTCATCGCTGTGTATATGAGACCGCCCGAAAAGTAGTAGTTCAAAAAGTATTTCGGTTCAAATATAATTTTAGGCTGTAGGACAAAATAAACACAATATTAATATACAGAACACATTAACAAACAAAATGCATTCCCACAGGTTGTACACAGTGTCATAACAAAAAATGTTACCTTCCTTGGCAAAAAAATACTTCTTCTTTTTTTAGGAAAACAAAAATAATTGAATTGATATAGTATGAAACGGAAAATTCTAAAATATATAAGTAATCCTATGTATACTTAATAATAATAAAAAAAAAAGATTTTGTATATAAATAGCTTAAATTAAATTTATATCGCTACATATTGCGTAAAGACATAGGCATTATTTAAATACAATATTAATTTTATTAACACAAATGTCCAAATAATAATTTCAAATACATTTTGGCACACATTTAAATATCAAATAAATTAAATAAATTTGAACTGAAAACCACAGATTATTAATGAAGTAGTCAAATAAAATATTATTGACAAAACTATATTACTTGATACAGTAAATAAAAGTACTTTAAATACGAATTGAATTTTTACATTAAATAAAATTGATTTAAAAAAAAAATCGTTATTTAAGTTATGTAACGCTAAGGTTTCCTACACATTTCATTGTTAGAAAAATGTATTGTGTAAATAAAACTTAACATTATGTATTTTTATAATAAGTAATTGCGTAAACGTGACTAGAAGTTTTTTATGACTTAAAGCGGTGGTAATCAAACGGCGGGTACAATTGACTTATACATGTACAATTTTACAAGAGAACGAAAATTCTATTCTCAATGTGTTTTTACAGTCAGGTTAGAATTATTATCATTCAACACTACTGACCACAGACACTTTTACCACCGCTGGATTTACCTCTTAATTTCTAAAATGGTTTTATTGTTAAACAATGGTATCAATAATGTTATTTATATGAAGCTATACTTCAATTTTACTAACATACAAGAATTCAAAGTTACTCGGTATCGGACATTTCTTCGATTTTTTCCAGTTCACATTCCATAAGCAACGATGTCGCAAAAATATCAATGTTGCTGCTTGCCCTTGGCGGTAATTGTCGCTGGTTAAATAGCACACCACTAGGCCCAGCCTGGGATTGTACAATTGGCGCTTGCGGAATATAAGTCTTGAAGTTTTCTTCGGCTGATTGCAATATTTTAGACACTTCGATTTTATGCTCAATCTAAAATAAATATACATATTGAATACAAAATTGACAAGTGCACAGATAGTAGTAGACAGTTCGATAAATTATTATCCATATTTACTTCTTTTATGATACCGATAAGAACGTCTGGGTCTTCATAACTATAGTCAACGTTGATGTTGTAAGTGGCGATACCTTCTTTTTCATCGATTTTGTAGTGTAGCACGTTTGATTTTCTCTAAAATATTATACTTTAGCGCAAAACTACAGCAGTATGCGTGGACGGTCTCAAATTTACCACTGTCAAGAGATAGTTTACCGCATCTTTTGCCGTTTTAAGGTTGAGTTGTTCGGCCAACTCGGCTAGGGTCATGGTCGAGAACAAGTTGGCCTGGTTCAAAGATTTCACAAGTTGTTTCACCAATCCAACATTTTTATCCCTTCAAAAAAAAAAATTTATCGTGAACCATATTAAACATTCAAATATTAAGCAAAACAGTCCAAATAGATATCAGATGTTAATGTAAATATATGATAAATATGTTTTACCTTACATAAATATCTTGGTGTTTAGCAATTGTCGCGTGGACTGCTGTTAAATTTCCACTTTGATAAAGTGGTACCAAATCTAAGTACGGTTGACACGTTGGTCCATACAATTCATCGAGGATTGTGGGATCAACGTTACAGTATGTTGGTACCGATCCGAAGTGTATGAAGACAAGTAAAATGAATTTCTTATAGGAATCAATCGTGATTGGCGAAATTACAGGAAATGTTGTCATGAAAACAATTTCGAAAAAAGTAATTGCTCTGTCAAAGTTTTTCATCGCTGTGTATATGAGACCGCCCGAAAAGTAGTAGTTCAAAAAGTATTTCGGTTCAAATATAATTTTAGGCTGTAGGACAAAATAAACACAATATTAATATACAGAACACATTAACAAACAAAATGCATTCCCACAGGTTGTACACAGTGTCATAACAAAAAATGTTACCTTCCTTGGCAAAAAAATACTTCTTCTTTTTTTAGGAAAACAAAAATAATTGAATTGATATAGTATGAAACGGAAAATTCTAAAATATATAAGTAATCCTATGTATACTTAATAATAATAAAAAAAAAAGATTTTGTATATAAATAGCTTAAATTAAATTTATATCGCTACATATTGCGTAAAGACATAGGCATTATTTAAATACAATATTAATTTTATTAACACAAATGTCCAAATAATAATTTCAAATACATTTTGGCACACATTTAAATATCAAATAAATTAAATAAATTTGAACTGAAAACCACAGATTATTAATGAAGTAGTCAAATAAAATATTATTGACAAAACTATATTACTTGATACAGTAAATAAAAGTACTTTAAATACGAATTGAATTTTTACATTAAATAAAATTGATTTAAAAAAAAAATCGTTATTTAAGTTATGTAACGCTAAGGTTTCCTACACATTTCATTGTTAGAAAAACGTATTGTGTAAATAAAACTTAACATTATGTATTTTTATAATAAGTAATTGCGTAAACGTGACTAGAAGTTTTTTATGACTTAAAGCGGTGGTAATCAAACGGCGGGTACAATTGACTTATACATGTACAATTTTACAAGAGAACGAAAATTCTATTCTCAATGTGTTTTTACAGTCAGGTTAGAATTATTATCATTCAACACTACTGACCACAGACACTTTTACCACCGCTGGATTTACCTCTTAATTTCTAAAATGGTTTTATTGTTAAACAATGGTATCAATAATGTTATTTATATGAAGCTATACTTCAATTTTACTAACATACAAGAATTCAAAGTTACTCGGTATCGGACATTTCTTCGATTTTTTCCAGTTCACATTCCATAAGCAACGATGTCGCAAAAATATCAATGTTGCTGCTTGCCCTTGGCGGTAATTGTCGCTGGTTAAATAGCACACCACTAGGCCCAGCCTGGGATTGTACAATTGGCGCTTGCGGAATATAAGTCTTGAAGTTTTCTTCGGCTGATTGCAATATTTTAGACACTTCGATTTTATGCTCAATCTAAAATAAATATACATATTGAATACAAAATTGACAAGTGCACAGATAGTAGTAGACAGTTCGATAAATTATTATCCATATTTACTTCTTTTATGATACCGATAAGAACGTCTGGGTCTTCATAACTATAGTCAACGTTGATGTTGTAAGTGGCGATACCTTCTTTTTCATCGATTTTGTAGTGTAGCACGTTTGATTTTCTCTAAAATATTATACTTTAGCGCAAAACTACAGCAGTATGCGTGGACGGTCTCAAATTTACCACTGTCAAGAGATAGTTTACCGCATCTTTTGCCGTTTTAAGGTTGAGTTGTTCGGCCAACTCGGCTAGGGTCATGGTCGAGAACAAGTTGGCCTGGTTCAAAGATTTCACAAGTTGTTTCACCAATCCAACATTTTTATCCCTTCAAAAAAAAAAATTTATCGTGAACCATATTAAACATTCAAATATTAAGCAAAACAGTCCAAATAGATATCAGATGTTAATGTAAATATATGATAAATATGTTTTACCTTACATAAATATCTTGGTGTTTAGCAATTGTCGCGTGGACTGCTGTTAAATTTCCACTTTGATAAAGTGGTACCAAATCTAAGTACGGTTGACACGTTGGTCCATACAATTCATCGAGGATTGTGGGATCAACGTTACAGTATGTTGGTACCGATCCGAAGTGTATGAAGACAAGTAAAATGAATTTCTTATAGGAATCAATCGTGATTGGCGAAATTACAGGAAATGTTGTCATGAAAACAATTTCGAAAAAAGTAATTGCTCTGTCAAAGTTTTTCATCGCTGTGTATATGAGACCGCCCGAAAAGTAGTAGTTCAAAAAGTATTTCGGTTCAAATATAATTTTAGGCTGTAGGACAAAATAAACACAATATTAATATACAGAACACATTAACAAACAAAATGCATTCCCACAGGTTGTACACAGTGTCATAACAAAAAATGTTACCTTCCTTGGCAAAAAAATACTTCTTCTTTTTTTAGGAAAACAAAAATAATTGAATTGATATAGTATGAAACGGAAAATTCTAAAATATATAAGTAATCCTATGTATACTTAATAATAATAAAAAAAAAAGATTTTGTATATAAATAGCTTAAATTAAATTTATATCGCTACATATTGCGTAAAGACATAGGCATTATTTAAATACAATATTAATTTTATTAACACAAATGTCCAAATAATAATTTCAAATACATTTTGGCACACATTTAAATATCAAATAAATTAAATAAATTTGAACTGAAAACCACAGATTATTAATGAAGTAGTCAAATAAAATATTATTGACAAAACTATATTACTTGATACAGTAAATAAAAGTACTTTAAATACGAATTGAATTTTTACATTAAATAAAATTGATTTAAAAAAAAAATCGTTATTTAAGTTATGTAACGCTAAGGTTTCCTACACATTTCATTGTTAGAAAAATGTATTGTGTAAATAAAACTTAACATTATGTATTTTTATAATAAGTAATTGCGTAAACGTGACTAGAAGTTTTTTATGACTTAAAGCGGTGGTAATCAAACGGGTACAATTGACTTATACATGTACAATTTTACAAGAGAACGAAAATTCTATTCTCAATGTGTTTTTACAGTCAGGTTAGAATTATTATCATTCAACACTACTGACCACAGACACTTTTACCACCGCTGGATTTACCTCTTAATTTCTAAAATGGTTTTATTGTTAAACAATGGTATCAATAATGTTATTTATATGAAGCTAGATAAGAACGTCTGGGTCCTCATAACTATAGTCAACGTTGATGTTGGAAGTAGCGATACCTTTTTTTTCATCGATTTTGTAGTGTAGCACGTTTGATTTTCTCTAAAATATTATACTTTAGCGCAAAACTACAGCAGTATGCGTGGACGGTTTCAAATTTACCACTGTCAAGAGATAGTTTACCGCATCTTTTGCCGTTTTAAGGTTGAGTTGTTCGGCCAATTCGGCTAGGGTCATGGTCGAGAACAAGTTTGCCAGTCGTAGCAAGTCAAGCAACATTATGTTCTGCAACTATTATTGAAGCTAGAAATTAAAATTGGCAATTTTCACAATAATTGTTGTGCAATGTAAACAGTTATAAAAACGAATAACTGTCAATAGGACACTCGAGAATGAAACATTTATTCATACAAAAAACAACAATAATATTAAATAATATCATTGGCGTTAGCCGAAATAAGCTTTTCAATTAGGTTTAAAAATGGTTAGGCATATTTTACATTGATAAGGTCTCTCGCTTGTGTGTATCATACAAAATAAAGTGTTTTCGTCTTTCCGACAACGAAATAATTATTGAATCGATGTATAACATTTCTCTTTACATTGTGTATTCCAAAAAACTTGTTTTCCAGGTCCTACACTGTGTGGTAATAATACAATATTTTATAAAAGTATAAAAGGATATACTAAAATAAACAGGACACATATCATATGCTGACTCATACCATACAATTGTACGCTTGGATGATTATCCTAGGAAACATTTCATACTTCACCACCCTGGTAATGACGCATTTACTCCCTATATAAGACAATACGACGGGCTTGTCGCCGCTCAGTCGTTTAGCTACAATCGTCTGCTACTTATCAATTATTCAATTGTTAAAGCATGGTGTGCGTAGTTAACCGATTCTTTTCGTAATTGTTTATGGTTTTGACTCAGTGTATGTTCCAAGTCCTAAGAACAACAAAACATTGTGTTTGTTTATTATTGTTTTATTTAATAATTCATCTATTAATTTAGCTATCTTAACATAGTCCGAGAGTCTGGCCTGGTTCATTTAATTCTCTTGAGAAGCGTAAAGCAGCTCTAGGGATCCAATTCCTTTGAATTAAAATATTCACTTGGAATTCGGATGTTCTCGTCAGCAATTGGAAAATTTAAGTAGGTAAATAGTTAATTAATTAGTGTTTAGCTAAGGGAAGTCAACCAGAGTAGCGGCTGTTTAGTGAGGTTAAATATACGACCCTTAAGGTCGGTTGCTTCTAAATATCTCAGCCTGGTTAGTCTGATCTTCTGAACGAACTTGCGTAGTCCTCTGGCTAGTTATCACGTAGCATGGTAGAGGATCACCAAGTTAAAAGCGCATAAATGTATATCTAAAAAAAGGGTTATTTTTAATTATATTACTTGACATTATACAATAAATGTATCATTAGAGCCTTAAAGTAAGAATTCCATAGTTTTGTTTGAATGTTATTTATTATTATTCTTTTCTATGTAAAACCTTTCAGCGAAAGACAAAAACAATGGTATTTATACACTTACACTAACGGACTTCGCCCACGTAGGACTTTATACGAAGAAATGCTAGGGCAGGTACCGTCAGGTAGGGGAAACATGTTAGGACTATTTGACACCCACAATGTATTCTGTGGTAGGTCCCATTCCAATTTTTCCCATGAACATTGTCCTGTTTCGGACACAGCCCTTACTAAATGTATCTTTGATAGAATAGTCAGAAAACTTTATTACAAAAACCTATGTATGGAACTCTGAACAACATTACCTTAAATGTTGTTATATATATTTGTATTATCTATATATATCTTGTCTTAATTGCTTAGTAAACATTTTTGGACCAGTGAAACTATACTCGTATTTCATTATACCACTTAATAAGTTACAGAGTATTCTGGATCGCCATTTCTTTAGGATACCTTGCTCAAGTACAGTCCACGTTGACTGGCAGTGACAGGTTTGATGCAGGCCTGTTCTACGAAAACCAAGGTGTTTGAATCACAAATGATAGATGGAACCTCATTATTTACTATGACTTCAATAATTATATTACAAACACTAAGACTATAGCTAAACTCACTTGAAGTAGGTATAGCTCTTACAGAGTATTTTATAATATTTATAATACCTTAACTGACCAATATGACTCTGACACGAATTTATTATCCGATCTAACACACATCACAGCTGGGGGAAATTTAGTCAATCATTTTAACGCCTAGTGAATTTTTAGAAATCCTTAAAAACATTAAAGTTCAATTACCTAAATCAACTGACTTACTAGTAGGGTTTACTACGGCTGACGTTGGTGAGTTATTAAAGATTTCAGAAATAACCATATTTTCTAAAAACCAAACTATTGTTTTTATTATAGATATACCTATTGTAAATCAAATCGAATTAAGTTTATACAACCTAATACCTTTACCCAGCCATATAGTTAACAATAGATACATTTACATTATTAACGAAAATCTAGAGTACATAGATTTTATTCCAAAGACCAATATAACTAACATTAATTTGCATTTGCTTGAAGCGCAAATGGTGTAGAGACCTATTAACAGATTGAACGGACATAAATCAGACAAAAATATAAAAAAATAATTACTTAAAAGTGTCATCAATGGGTGGCTTCTTTTATCATGTTCTTTTCATGTTATGCTATTATTTTAGCCAATACTCTGATTGTACCTATTTGGAACAGATTGTATATTTATTAATAAAGGGAAAAAAAAATGTTAATACAGTTTTATCTGACCATGTAATTACTAACCGCCTTAACGACTTCTGAACCTTTGGTAGTATACCTGACAAGATAAATCAAAAAGATTTACACGACAATGTAATGGTGAATACCCATCGACACAATATGCTATTATACACCATTTGTACAATTATTATATTTTGCACTATGTATTATGTGACGACCTATGTAACTAAACGCTTATTTTGTAACCACTCATTAAATTTTCGTTCTGAGATTGTAACTAGGCCAACCGTCAATGACGAAGCTGGACATCCTCTCAACACATTGGATCGTGTCTATCCTAATGTTGAAGAACCTCAGCCCATGGTTCCACCTCGCCCTACGGCTTCTACGGAGACCATTCGCTATCCACCTTTAAAGGAACATCCGACTTTGCACGTCCTTTTCTTCAGAAGGGTCTTTTCGGCTAGTGGCCTAACCACGTAAACTGTTCCCACGACACCCAGGGCCAATCTACCACATAAATACCGTCTATCGACAAGGCACGATGGTCAGACGTCGTCCAACGCTCAGTCTACGCACTACTGCTATTTAGACCTTTTATTGTACTCACTTTTATTATTGTGTTGACTATTAATTTACAATTATTAAGGTATACCATGGGATCAACTAGAACAGGAAGAGCCGCCTCCAAGGCAACCAGCTATGACTACCGCTCCGCAACCAATGGCTGGGGAGAAACGAGGTAAGAACAGAATAATTTACGGTCTCATACAATAGCAATGGTGAATTTTGATGGTCTAGGTACCGAGCCAGGA